CGAGCCTACGACCCCAGTGAGCAAGAGGATGGAGACGTTTGATGCTTTAGACCGCGCGGCCACTGGGACCGGCTTTAAGCTATTATTAGACGAAATAAATATAAATGATCATGAGTGAGCCATGTTGTTTATCGATATAAAAGGCATGGAAAATATTGGTCAGAAAATCTAAATAGAATGGACCATCTGGAAGACGTACGTATGTATGGAGTTAGGGCAGTAATTAAAATTAATTTTAGACAAATATGATGTTAGGGTGAGGAATATATTCAACTGCATCAGAACAGGATTCAGATATGGTGGTTTGTGAGTACTGTCTTTAATCATTTACTTACATACTTACTCATGGAGCTGAGCCCTTCTGAAGGAGCCGCCAATTCTGCAGCTACTCAAGAATTTCCCAGCATTTTATGGAACCCGAAACTTCATTACCGTGTTCACAAGAGCCCTCCACTGGTCCCAATCCTGAGCCAGCTCAATCCAATTCAGACCATCCCATCCTATCTCTCTAAGATCCATTTTAATATTGTTCACCCACCTACGCCTTGGTCTTCCCTGTGGTCTCTTTCCTTCTGGTTTTCCCACCAATATCCTATAGGCATTTCTCGTCTTCCTCATTCGTGCTACATGCCCTGCCCACCTTATCCTCCTTGACTTGATCAATCTAATTATACTTGGAGAAGAGTACAAATTATGAAGCTCCTCATTATGCAGTTTTCTCCAACCTTCTGTCACTTCATCTCTCTTCGGTCTAAATATTCTCCTCAACAACACCGTTCTCAAATACCCTCAGTCTATGTTCCTCCCTTAATGTCAGAGACCAAGTTCTAATCAAACCCATACAGAACCACAGGCAAAATTATAGTGTTGTATATTCTAATTTTTATGTCTTTGGACGTCTTTAATCATAAGTTACATAAAAGGATTGAAATCTGGCATATGTAGGCACTCGGGGACACCGGACGATGTTCACACCTCCTTTTGTAACGTAATGTTTTCTTTTCTCTTCCCCCCCCCTTGGCACTACAGCCCCAGTGGGCCTAGGCCTACCTCCATCAACTCCGTTCACTTCGGTTTTTCTAGATCTTACACATTCGGTAGGACTCCTTGGGCGGGTGATCAGCTCGTCGCAAGGCCTCTACCTGTAGACAAACAAAGCAAAACACACACACACAAACTAAACATCCATGCCCTGAAAGGAATTCGAACCCACGATCCCGGTTTCCGAGCGAGCGAAGACAGTGCATGCCTTAGACCGCTCGGCTACCGTGACCGGCCTTTCTTTTCTCTTACATATTGCAAATCTAAGATTAAACTTCGAGTTGTGTTTTCTAGAATTTATTCTCTAATGTTGGTAGGGTGCGGGGAATGGTATTCGTTCCCTATTGCATCCTGAAACTACAGTTTCAACCATAAAGACATCATTTTTTATGAGTTGCAGGAATTGCAATTCTCACAGCATGGTTATGAAGTTATACGAGGGCTATTCGGAAAGTAACCCCCTTCTACTTCAGGTAACTAATGTAGGAGTGGGGGAGAGCTTGCGCATGTGAAGTAGCGTCACATGACTGGACACGTAGTGCTTGTTCTTGTCTCTGCAGAGTGAGTTATGGTATGTCCCGCGATTGACAACCCCTACAGGTGCGAAATTCGCGCTGACATCCGCTTTCTTCTTCGCGCTAAAAACATGAGTGCTGCCAAAATGTAATGAGTGAAGGAACTGTAAGACAATGGTGAAGAATGTTCAAAGATGAGCGGGCGAAAAAACGTTCACGATGAAGAGCGAAGTAGTCGGCTATGTGTAGTGAGTGATGGTCTCCTTCAAAGTGTTGACCAAACAATTTGTGAAAGACAGCGCTTCACAATAGAACTTTCGTGTGAAATTCCACAAAATTCAAGCACTGTTCTCTGCAAGATTATCACAGGTTAGGCTATCACAAGTTTTGCGCAAGATGGGGTTCGTAAACGTTCACGGGAGCGCATTAAACGCAGAGAATTGTCTCGGCTTTGACTTTTTAGAGCAATTTCTCAATCACATCGCAACAGGTGATGAAACCTGGGTTTCATTTGTGAATGTTGAAACCAAAGAGACAAAGCAGTGGATGCACACACATTCACTGAACAAGCCGAAAAAGTCAAACTTCTTCTGCCAGAAAGCTGATGGTGGTCCTCATATATCTTCTGTCGTATAACGCCAAGCAGTCCGTTGAAAGCCAACCGATGTTTCGGAGAGAAATGTCGCCTCCATATTCAGAGTAGAAGAATAAGACGAGTAAGAGATTAGAGTAAAATCAGGTGGCAAGCAGATCGACTGGTGTGTTGCTCGGGTTATTCTTCGGCCCTGAAGATGGAGGCGACATGTTCCTTCGAAGCGTCGGTTTACTTTCGGTAGACTATGCGGCACTGTATCCAAGAAGACAGATGTCTTCATAGTCCAGGTGCGAGATCCTCACATCCTGCGTCTTACGTTTTGACTTTCGACTACCCAGTTCTCACACTAGACCCAGGCTGACGGCAAGACCGGACACAGATGGTCACTCTCCAAGAGCCAAAACGGAAACATCTTAAACTTTTGCCTTTTAAATCGGAAGATTTAAGGACTGTATTGTGTCCAACAGACATTTCCCCGTCAGACTCTACTAGGCATGCGTTTGGAAGCTCTCGTGCTGTTAAAAGAGAAACCGAATATAGCCATCTGAAGCCGTAATAAATTAACGCCTTAATTAAATATTAATACCGCAGTCAGTATGACTGGCTAGGGGCTTGACGACTGATGTGTCGGAGTTAGAGATCCGGTGGGGCCCAGACCGGTTCTGGGGCCCGCCCAGTCTATCGAATGGGAACCGTGGGCTCCTTCCTCGGGGGTAAAGGCGACGGGGAGTGAAGCTGACCACTCACCTCCACCAAGTGTCGAGTTCAAGGAAGCGTGAATCTCTACATCCACTCCCCATACTCCTCATGGCGTAATTCTTAGTTAGTTAAGCACAGGGACAACTTTACCTTTTGTTTGTGTTAATTAAACTGTAGGCTTTGAGGCTCCGACGGGATGTCTTGTTCGCTTAGCATAGAGTGACAGGATCCTGTCTGCAAATGTGGGTCGAGGAGTGACTTCACGCTAAATAATCTCGGGGCAATCAGTCTTCATTCATTATAAGAGGAGTTACTTGTGTACTGATTCAGAATATTGACAGACATGTAATTGTGAATACCTTCTGTCAATTTGCTGGAAATATTACTGAATGGAAGTTATTCTGATCTGACTACATCCTTATTCAGTTATTTTACCGAAATGCTTATTGCCATGAGAACCCTGCTGATACGTCAACACGCACGGTCCTGAGGAACAAGGCTTCATACCTTTGTGAGTTACGTAAGATTTCAGGATTTCATGGGGGTGACTATGAAGAATTCCGTCTTCTGCGATGTGGCGCCGTGTAAATATTGTGTTAGCCAACGTTTCGGAGGAAAATATCTCCTCCATCTTCAGGGTATAAGATATCCGCGAGTGATGAACCAGCGTGAGCAGGTAACTGCAGCCAGAAATCCTGGTACCTGCATAAACTCAGCCTATGATAGGGCCGAGAGGAGGAATGAAGCAGTTTGACGTCTGCATGAGAAGATAGTGTTATAAGATTCATTAAAGCGCTTGGTCTACTATTTTTTTGGTGGACGGTACGTGTAGCAGACAAGATGTGTGAAACGTTCAGATAATTTTAGTCAAGAAAGCTGAAGAGAAGAGATGATTAGGGGCAGACTTACCTAGACGTAGATGGGAGGATGACAAATAAATTAAATAAAGCAGGGTGTCATACTGGGAAGTGGATTCGACTAGCTCATGACAAGGTCTAATTGTGAACATGGCAATGAATTTTACAGTTCCGTAATATTCGGAAAAATTTATTGACCGACTGACTTCCATCTCATTAAGGAGAATTATAATATACGGAATGACTCGCTTACTGTGACGCCAGTTATCTGTGGCTGTAACACACCCGTGCGTGCACACACACACAACATGAACGGTCTACACGTATTTTCTTGAACATTCATTCTGAACCGAGGAATTTTAAGGGAGCACGAGTTAGCGTAGTTGGTTGAGGCACTATGCTACAAGCCTGTAACGGATTCGATTCCCGATGAGGTCATTCGATTTTTCAATTGACCTAATCCCTCGATCCGCATTATAGCCCTGGGATCGACTCAGCCTCTAACAGAAATGAGTGCCAGGAATCTTCCGGGGGGGGGGTAAAGGGTGGTCGGTGCTTAAGGCTGACAACCTCACCAACTTCTGTGAGCCGATTGTTTAGAAAATGTCGGAGCCTCGACGTCTCACAACCCTATGGGCCTCAACGGCCTGGCCTGTTACAGGGATAGCTTTACTTTGACGTTACCGTGGAATTTTAAAATTATTCGATTAAATTTGAGGTAGCAGAGGAAGGAAGTAACGGTATAGTCCTTACGTACACGTTTCGGGCACCTGTTAAGTCCTAAGAGTTGCAAAGAACGATTTTTTGCATCCGTGGGACACGTTAAATTCGTTTTGCGCAAATCCTAGGAGACCAGGCGCCTGAAAACAAATGTGTACGATAACTAGGAACACAGTAACTATGATAAGTTAGCCGATGATCACGCTGTAGCACTGATGTCACGTGAAAAACACTAGACCAAACAGAGTCAGCCAGGCTTTACCGTCGGTACTGTACCTCCCTCTGTCGGGTCACGTGGTACTGGACAGATAATATATACTTAGTGTAAAGAAATATGACTGGTATATATATATACATGGATCTATAATGTGATGAGATCAATAAATATGGTTACTAATACTTATCATAAGACATTACTAACGTCACAGTATTTTAATACGACCAGTTCCAATAGAAGGGACTCGTAACTTCCCCGTTTCATAGCTCACATTATTTTTGAGCAATAGTCACCTGCCGCCTTGTCTAATTGCAACTTCAGTCGACTCAAAAAGAATCAGTGGTTTGGTTACTTACCACATTCTTGTTCATCTTCCCCATCCTCACAGTCAGGCTGTCGATCGCAGCGCCTCACCAGGTCGACACAGGAATTACTGCACCGGAACTCGTTGGGCAGGCAACCTGGCGCAAAAGTAAACACGATTACAAGACTGTAACTCAGTTATGAGTTCATTATCGTAATTACATTAAACCGTCGTTAAGAAACTCGGCTAACTTCACTTCACGAAATCAGTTTTGTTTCACAACTTTTGAGTTCCACTCGAACGTGTGGGGAATGGTCTATACTGATTAAATTTCAAGGCACAAATTATGAGGAGAGGGAGGATAAGCTTATGACTTTTGAACCTAATATTTTAAACGAGCTATTATGTGCCCTGATTTCGGAACTAAGAGGTGGAACACTGACCATGGCTTTAGGCATGCAGAAATACTGTGGTCTTAGATTTATGCAGTTGTAGTGAGATATTAAGCGTTTAAAAGAATTCCACGGAACAGATGTTGACAGTCGCTCACTGATGAAAAAATTCCCCGCCAACAATGAAACTAGAAAGGATATTATGTTCACAACATCAGGTCGATGACCTTACCCTGGGCTAGTCCAATTCAAGTTACACCTTCACATCCTATTTCTTTGAAATCTATTTATCTTGCCATATAATTCGTTATCCAAAGCGCTCTCTCCTCTTGAAGCAAGATAGCAATAAGAAAAAAGCAAAGACGAAAAGATGGGGAAGGTATATTGGAACTTGGAATAACTCACATATTTCCCAAATGTATTCTTGCTCTTCTGCATAACGATATATCATTGGCGTTTACCTTCATTTCCTGCAGATACAAGTTCATTATGCTATTGCAGATATAAAGTACACCACGTTAAAGCAGCGCATGTTAAGTCTCTCCCGCTGCATTGGGTTAGAAATAGTTCTTCCTTGTAATTAAATATACGCCATATCGAATGATTAACATTTAATTTATAGATTTTATTACGTTTAAGCTATATATTTTATACAAAAAGATAATTAAAACATTTGAAAATGTGGCGACGTTGAAATACAGCAATAAACCAGACATGAATTCATAAATAAATTAGGAACAAATTAAATTCTAATCCTGCTGCTGCCATTCTGTTCAGAGACTGTACTCTTCTCGTCTGCAGTGTAAAACTGCAGAGATTAAAATATACAAAAATATAATTTTGCCCCCAGTTTTGTGTGGACGTGAAATTTGGTCTTTGATATTAAGGGAAGAACACAGAAAGAAGGTGTCTGAGAACACGGCGATGAAGGTAACGTTTGGACCCAAGAGGGAAAGAAGAATGGGAGACTGGAAAAAAATTATTATGATGAGCTTCATAACATTTACTCTTCGCGAAATAAAATTACAATGATCAAGTCAAGGAGGATGAGCTGATAGGAAATGTAGCATGCGTGGAAGGTAAGAGGGATATTGGGTTTTCGGACTTTATCCATCGTCCTGGTTTTAAGATAACTAAGAAAAACACGACGTTTTTAAGGGACCCAACAGAATAGGTGTTTTCCCACACCTGAGGATGGAAACAGATCCAGTTTCCGAAACGTCGTGTTTTTCTTAGTTATCTTAAAACCAGAACGATGGATAAAGTCCGAAAACCCAATATCTCTGTGTGTTATACACCATCGTCAGAATCCTATAGTAAGATAAGAGGATTTATAGAAGAGTTTTGTAGGAGAGTCACCTAGATAGACGCAGACGTAGGTGTGAGAATAATATTAAAATGGATCATAGAGAATTAAGGTGGGTATTTGGAGTGGATTTATCTGGCTTATGATAAGGGCCACTGATATGCCTTATGGAAGGCTGTAATGTATCTTCAGGTTACATAAAATTTGGGAATTTTTTTGAGTGGCTGAATAAATGTTGGCTTCTCAAGAAGGACTCGATTACATTGAGTTAGTTACAAGTTTTACGAAATGCAGGTCTTCGACTTTCTTCGATTATTCAATTAAAGGAATCGGTCATTGCTTGATATAACCTTCACTCGAATATAAATTCAATTCAATTAGGTTGAAGAAAGAAATTGGCCACGAAGTCTCTAGTCATGCACAAATACCAAATTTCACCAAAATCCCTAAAGCGTTTCCGAAGGTGAAAGACCCTTACAGATATGACATACCCATTTTACATTCAATTTTTTGTGCCTTGTGTTAGTAATGTTTAAAATGAAGAAAGACAATTTAGGGCTATAACTCTCACCAAAAATCTGATCTACTCTAGGGGATCAGCCCCTCGCAAGGCCGTTACCTACACACAGGGTAACACAAACACAGAAAAAACGCACATAATACACACATCCATACCTTGAGTGGGATTCGAACCCACGATCCCAGCGTTCAAGCGAGCGAAGACAGTTCATGCCTTAGACTGCGCGGTCACCGTGACCGGCAAATAATCCAGCATGTGCAATGTAATTAGTTTTAAATTAATCATTTATCATTTATCTGTCCTGTGTGGACAAGATGTACCATCTGCTACTTTTCCTGGAAATTTAGCTGTTTTAGCTACAGCGGCATGTCTTTGCTAATCTGAGATTTGGCAGCTAGTACAAGCTATAAACTAAAAGTTGGTCGGCAAAATACCCAAGCCAAGCTGATTATATATCACGCTGCTGTCAAAACTACCGTTGAAACTTTAAGGACTAAAATCGCTCAGGAAATCAATATAATTGAGAAATTTAAATTTCTGGTGTAGTCACAAATTTTGAACTGGCCCAGTAAGGCGTGTTTTAGCGGCCTCCGTAGTCTAGAGGTAACGTTCCCACCTCATGACTCGTAGTACGCGGGTTCAAATACCCGGCGGAGGTCGTCGAATTTTTAAGGGCGGAAAAATTCAGGGAACAAGTCCTCCGGGAGGGACTTTAAGCCGTGGGTCCCGTGTCGTAGCTTTACGGCACGTAAAAGAACTTCATATCTCCAAAGGAGGTCACTGAGCCAAATTAACGGACGTTTCCCGCCCAACAGCAGTCTCTAATACCTCCGGTAGATGGGGGAAGCATTATAGATACCTCTCAGCTAGTAGAGCCGGTCTCGCTGGCTGGGCGGGACTGATGGTAAGCACCAGTACAGGTTGGATATAGCGACTGGTAGAAATCATAGAGGGAAGCACAATGGACCAATACAGGTCTCAGTGCATGGGGAAACCCACCCTCTCCAATAACTAACTAACTAACTAACTAAGGCCTGTTTTACGGAGGAGCTTTTTCTTGGAAGTTTGGCTTCGGAGAAGCTCACTAATTCCAACAGCTCCTTTACCAGAGCAGTCATCTTCCAACGTCTGAAGTTTGTGGACACAAACCTACGTCATGCCATCATACATAAAGTTACAGTTACAAATTGTCCATTGTTAAACTTTATATAAGTTTCGCTTAGTAAATTAAAGTGAAGTAAGTTATTGAAAAGCACTAACAATACAACAACTTTGGTATTAAAGTGCGATTATTTAAGCAAGTTAAAGTAACTAAATTGCGCCATTATACTTCAAAGTGAACAATAAATATCTCGAGGGAAACTGTGATTGTGTTAGAGCAAGTTTGGTAGCAAAAGCTCCATTCTGTCCTGCAGGAGCGAGGCCTGTTAACGACCTGAGACCAGAGCTTAACTCTACCTAACTCTAGGGATGTGCAAAGAAGTCGACAATAAATCTCATCCAGAGATTCCAATCAAAAACACTAAGGGCAATTGCAGACGCGACATGGTATGTGAGCAACCTTACACTCCACAACGATCTAAAGATACGCTTCGTCAAAAATTAAATACTAGTAATGGCTGAAAGGTACAAAAACCATGACAACATATTAATAGAAGAGCTATACACCAACGGTCCAGTGATAAGAAGACTGAACAGAACACGGCCCCAAGACATCATCAATCAATGAAACAGACTGCATGTAGGAGAAACATCACTGGATGTTTCCCTTGCAAGCAAACCACCTAAAGCACATTTACTTAATACTCTGCAATGACGTAGATTGTAAAGAAGCATAATAATAAATAAAGAAACTTTACCTATACCTGAGCATAACCCAAATAACTCTCCTGAGGAGACACCATTCCAGCTGTAAGCTACACTCTTGCACTTACTGGGGCCCGAACAGTCACTGTCCTACGTTCTCAAATACATTTTCCGTGTGAGGCGCTGTCTCTGACGAGAGGATGGGTCTGTCATTTGTCAGTCACAGTCAACAGTAACAAGTCAATTTTCATTACGTACCATTGAAAGGAGGATATTTACGTGGCATAAAGATTAATTGGAAATACATGCGGATTCAGAGGCAGTAATTGTACAAAACTTCCTGCAGCGACAACCTTCCGGTTCAACTGACATTTATAACAGGGCCATGCCATAGTTCAGGTGGTTAGTCGCCGGCTTCTGACTACTGCGGTCCGGGTTCAAGCTTAGTTCTGGTCGTGTGGGATTTGTGGTGGACAAAGTGGAACTGGGGTAGGTTTTCTCTGAGTATTTCGGTTTCCCGTGCCAATTCTCATTCCACCGACTGCTCCAAACTCATCATCTATCAGCCGGGGCTGGTAAAATAGCCCAATTAGTGGGCCACGTACCAAATCGACCCAGCCTCATCCCCCCCCCCCAAGAAAGAATGAAAGAAAAACACATATAACACTACGAGAAGGCACCGCCACACAAATGTGACTCCCTGTGTTACTTGAAAGTGAGAGACAAGATGGGCGGGTGTTTGAGAATTGTGCAGCTCTTCACCTTCAGTGTCTTTGTGGCACTATGATCACATTTCCACAGGAATGCCTATGCACGTCAGAAGGGAGCGTTTGTTTACTTTATCGCAGCTGCCTACGGGCTCTGAAGGTGTTTGTTCCTCGCGTTTCAAGATGAAACAAACAGAAACAGAGCGAGTATCGAAAAATTCTCTCTGAGTTACATTATACGGAGTCTGAGAGTTAAATAACCGAACTGATACTGTACTGTCGCCAAACTTCAGTGAAGGTCAACATCTTCAAAGTACACGGACACTGTCCCTTCTGAGTTTGTAGAAGCAAGCAACGCCACTGCCACAGTCAGAGACGTCCCTTGAAATTATTTTCGCAAATCCTTTTTGCCTGTTGTTGTCAAGT